CACTCAATTAAACCAACGTTGTCTCGACAAACCGGCTATCGATTCCCCACTGGAAACCATAGCCACCCACTTTGGACCAAAGAACCTTTCCCTGTATGAATGGCAAATGTACGAGTTATTGAGTGCCCTAGAAATTCATTGTAAACTGTATTATATTTTGCCTCAAAAGACTAGAAAGTCTATCGGACCGTTATTCGGTATTAAGAATAGGCATTATGGCTAAGATATTAGAAAATTGCCTGATACTTCTTAAGAAAGTTATAGGTAATCCATAACCACGTGCCGACTCTTTAGGGAGGATGGACCAGCTCCCTTCTGCATCTGAGATATTCGACGTGACTATTCTTTAGGGTGCCAACCCCTCACAGTAGAGGGGTAATAACGCCACGCAATCAGGGTTGAACTTGGAACGGGCTTATTAACTTTGTGAAATATTAACTCGACCGTGTCCACAAATTAAGTTTTAGCAAGGTTTGCATAAAATTACCCAAAGAGGCCTAGTTATACCATCCTCTTGATACTACTTCCTTTACAGAGAAATTTCGTCTCACTCTTTCTCCTTTCCTCACGCCAACGCAGACCCAATTCTCACTCGAGAGACTTTTTGAATCCTGGCCAACAGAGCTCGACAAATGTAATTATAATACCGCAGAAAAATGTTCCTAATTGCCGAATTCACGGAATGCAAGAGCATTGCCACTCTAACTTTCATATATACGTACATAGAGTGATATGTGAAACGTACTCACGTCTCGTGGCCGAGAGGTATTTTCTCGAAATAACCAGACAGTTTTGTGTGCCTACGACATAATTACATTTTCATACAAAACCTACTTTTTATTTAAGCCACTAAAGTTTCGTCGCTCTTTTCACGCCTTCTAACCCATTTTGAATTTTTCATAAACTTATTACTAGAATGAACTTTATCGCATGAAATATTACATAGGTATGCCACTTCGACGGGATAGATTTTCAACATCTTTTCTATATTCCAAAGAAGTATCATCCAAGTTCCTAACTACCGATAGTAACTGCTACGGGCGGATACTGACGTGGCTTCCGTTTTACGCCGGCAGGACTAAAAGTTTACGAGCGCTACCGCAGCAGCAGCAACCAAACCTGGCGAGCAAACGCTTTTACGTAAACGCGATTACGTAAACCCCAATTGCTGAGACGTGATACAAGTATGAACAATAACTACGGCTTTAATTACATGGGCACAATGTAGATATTACTTATAAAATTTGGAAGATGGAAAAAAGAGATACTTTTATGATATATAAACTTGTGTATAGATATATATTGTATATTTAAGAGCGAGGGAAAAGTATTTTACGATAAGCATCGTAAAATCTTTTAACCCTATTTTACTTTTCCTTTTATATCCTATGATGTAACTTTCTTTCGTTAAGACCCTGGACACATTTTCTTAATGAGCGGGTAGGTGCACGGTTTTATTGGTTCCAACATTTGTATCCCAGGCTGTCCGCCTTTATTAAGAATCCCAGAATGCAAGGACACAACGTAGCTTAACGCAAAGGACTCTCCTTATTCTCCTCGAGTTACTCAGGACTCTGTAATGTCTCTATTAAAATGCAATCCCACATCTTACCTCCTGGGTTTCTCTTTTTATTCATTAAATAACCGTCCCGAGGGCGTCGACTGTACCCGCAGCTTCCGGTAGCTGTTGGAACTTCTAAATAGCACTTCCGGCAAATGTAAATGTCGTGACATTCGCGTAATTAAGAGTGCACCGAATTAAAAGTAGCGCGACGCTTGAGACGTGTTTTATTTACACTTGAAAACTCGAGATTTTATAGGTAATCAAATCAATGCATTGATTCGCATCAATCGAAGTTACGTAACGAATTTTCGATATGACTGTTATCAACCAATTCGGACCTACATCAAGTTACTGTAAGACGATAAAGTTCCCAATAGCATAGCTGACGATTACGTCACAGGAATACTCAAAATCAAATACAGATTTCGATTTCGAAACTTCGATCGGCAAATTTATCCATCCTTGGTTGAAACCGGAAGCCTTGATAATTGATGCCAGTACTTCTAGTACATAAGTGGTACCACCTGTGGGCTTGTCAATACTGAAGCTGTAATACGTCTCCGGCAAAGCTATTACTGCTATAACTGTAACAGAATTCATATTAACAGCGCGATCGAGAGCGTGAGCTCTATTCCATTCAGTACGGAAGTACATACGTGTTCCATCGAGTACAAACCACGGCACAAGTTTCGCAATATACCATTAACCCTCATTTCCCATAAAGAAGGTAACCTCATACGTCTTGTCGGCAAATCGTAGAAATTTGTGAAATAAATTAAAAAAGATATTGAAACAAATTATTTTTCAATTAATCTACGTAATACGTTTATCTTAGTAATTTGAATTATTAGGTTTCCAAATTTTTTTGTCAAAATTCAAAATTACGTACTATCGTCAATAACCATCTATGCCGATAAAAATCGAGTATATCTTGTCTATGGACGTACTAAAGTTACAGCCTGTCGACATATGCAGGGTTCGTGTTACTCGGGGTGTGTGAACGAGAGATAGGATAGACGAGGTGCATGTAGTAATAACATGCCTTCCAAAAGCACCCCTTCGCATGGCCATGTAGGGAACCCTCGTCCGCGACCCACTCCATTACGCGCACTGATTATTCTCCATTGTCCACCTGTAAACAGAATATTGATAGAGTTAGCAGCTTCAGAGGGCGAGGCTTCTCATTCAATCGATCAGTCCTAGTATCGCTCGAATCTCGAATCTCGAGGCTCGCTCCTGTTTGCACGGAGTATGGCTAATGAGTAGCGCACTAGAAGCAAACCGTACTGAGGCGAGTACCGTAGGGTATATACAGGGAAGTTGTATGTCCCAAAGCTAATATAATTATTGCATCAGGCCCCAAAGAGCAAACACTCACGGCTACAATCAGGACAATCAGCATGATTGGCGGTCCCCAGTGTACACATGACTTCGCCAAAAGCATTTGGCTTCAGCCCATGTCACGATGTACCTGACTCCGTTTACACTTGGGAAAGCCTTGGCATGTCTTCGGATATACTTTTATACCTGTAAGTCTTTAATTCGTACGAGAGCTCAGTCAGATCGTTATTGCTTCTGTCACCCGGTATATCAATCCTAAGTAATAAATATTGAACTAATAAAAACATTGTGATAGACAAGCATACTCTGTTTTGTTCCACTGTCGAGAACCGAATGATCGGTAATGTTTACACCTGTAGCTACTATCCGGGGCTGTCTAATTAGAGCACAGTGTGGTACGTAGATTACAAATAGCAATCGAACGGTCTACTATATAAGGAAAGCCTTCCAGCGTATGTGCCGTGTCCCATTAGGCGTCTATACGTTCGATTAGGCTCGGGGAATCGATTGATTAAATATAGTATGTGCGAACGTACATAGGTTGGACTTCGCTTCTAGAGAAGTCGTAGGATCATCGTGGAGATCGAATTTACTGAGGATCGATCATCCGGCTAGGTTCCAGTTTACTGGTTAACGGGAGACTACGGATCCCCTCGGATCTTCAGACCCTCGACTCATTACCGGAAATCCCATTGTTATCGAGTAGTATCGTCTCTCTGCCGATAGAGCGAGCACCTGACCAATGTGATTTGCAGAATCAGTAGAGTAGAGAATTTCATAGATTACTGTATCTATCTATCCCCGCGTATACCTGTCAAGGTATATACAATATACTAAATGAATATCCGTAAGTATACTAGCTGTTTCATATTAAATGAAAAAATTTAATCAACCATTCCAGATCTTTTTCGATCTTACCAGTGGCTTCTTTTTCTTCTAAAAAATAAAAACAAAAGTGACTGCGTTCACGTCGTTAGTTCGCATAGACAATGGCCGTGGACAAGGAATCGTTTCCGAAAGTCATAGCAATAAAATATAAAGTTACTTGCCCGCTCCCGGCGGGCATGACGATGCTGGCCTACATCGCATTATACATTACCATTTTACCAAGCGAGTTAAACCGGAGCACTGAACATTCAGTTCAGTAATACTCTGCAATTCTATTCCCTCCTACAATCCACCCTCCCTTTTTGGCTATACTCACTCGTATACTCTCTTTATACATCTACAATGGCGTAGGACGTCCGCGTATAGTTTGGCTCGTGGACAAAACGGCTCTCCTGCTAAACGGAGGAGGAGCCACTGATGAGTGACTAACTTCCCTGTTAGTCTGTTAGTGCTAGGTGTACGTACCTACTGGCCTGGAACCACCGATAACCACGTGCCGTGTTCAATGTTCAAATTATAAATGGAGAAGCCAACCCCTATTGCATCCTTTATCACCCACGCTCATTGTCTTCGTTTCTCCCTTGCAATCTGCACCACTGTTCTTGGTCGTATTGGACTTTCTAGGGAATTTCAACTGATTTATAAATATTTATTATCAACTTTTATTTATCCTGGTATCGTTTTGCTACTTACCGTCAAATGTATATAATGCACTTATGTACGTATAGTTAAGTATCTATGCATGTTGGTAGGCGAAGACAGAATTTTCATAGAACGATAAACAGTTTTTTGTATAAATTCCTGATATTCTCTCTATGATGATCACGTGTTCCAAGAATCAACGTTTCACGTCCTGAAAACTCCTCGTCGCTTTTCCCCACGTTCTACGTCTTCGTCTTTCAATTCAGGTTTCTCGTTACGCTGCTTTTCTCTTTCGAAAGATTTCTCTCTGTTGATGGATGGAAAATCTATTTTTTCTCATGCTAGAATGACCGGGTAGATGCTGCTGCTGCTTCGTATGTGTGTGTAATATATATATATATATATATAATATACAAATAGCAGCTAGAGCCAATGGACGCAAACAAACAGCTGCTGCCAGTCATTCGTAATTCACGAAGTCTGTCAGACACGGGCGCGAGTTTTCAATGCGATTAGCACCTCGCGCAACTTCCTTTCCTTTTAGTACGGACAATAGTGACCCGGATTATGCACGCTTTTCCTGGTGCATCGGATGCAACTGCGTACCATGTTATATACTGCACTAGACACTCTATGCCTTCAGCCAGTCCTGCCTATAGATTTTGTTACTATACCTGCGGCTATACGTATCGGCTACTTGGGTGTTAAAAGTTGAGGACCTCCTGCGGAGACTGTACTTGGAATATAATGTACGTATAGATTACCTAACAGATAATTAATGAAATTAACAAGAAGAATAGACGTTGCTTGGTAAAAGTTACTTTGCCGCAGAATACATTCAAATACGGATAAGAGTCTTGGATACAGGGAAGAAATTCCTGAAATTGAATAAAATTTTGTGCAAAACCATCAAACTTGTTTTTCGTGATTTATAAATTAGACTAAGTGTTATATTCTGCGACATCCACTATACTATCTACGACTTTAAGACTTATTCTCTTTCTTTTTATTAAAATAAGAAGGCTGTAGTACACCAGCGAATTTTCATTGATTTTGAATAAGTAAATCGCGACTCGCTAGGATAGGTACTCATTATAAGGAATATCGAGTTTTACGAAAATCTGAAAGATAATTTTATTTTTCATAAGAATTGAAAAAAAAAAACAATTTTCAAGTTTCTCAAAGACAGTTCCTCGCTCAGAATTCTATTTACGGAGACCGCCCATGGTGTCTGGCTACAGGGCAATCTCCGCTGAACAAATTAGTATCTTGTACTGCGTTAAAAGCCGCAGTCACTTCAGAGATAGTATTGTCGGATACGAGTATCAGAGTGCAGGAGTACATAAGTAAGGAAAAGAAAAAAAAGAGATACAAGAATATATATAAGTAAGTGTACGTAGGCGAGAGTTACTGTCGGGTGTGGCTAGGCAAATCGAACCAGACAATCCTGACAATACCAAGAGATTTAGATTCTCAGTAGTGATTTCTAGATCTTAAATTCATCCAGACTCCCAAGATACCTTGGAGAATTTTGTCCCCGTGTAATCCTTACGTTTTGGTCAAATATTCGAGATGATCGACTCAGATAACAAAGGAAAGCGACTGTCACGCGAGTTCCTTTCAAAATTGGACCACCTTTTATATACCGTTAGTACTACTGACTGACCTGCTGTCAATCTCTCAGCACGCACAGCCTTTACATTCTTTGATATTCTCTCATGTATATATATATATATATATAT